TGTTTGTGGAGGTCTGTGTGTCTGGTGGATCCTTCTGAAGCAAGCCTGAGGCAACAGTGCTCAGAGGCACTACCCATGGATGGAGATCATCCCCTCCTGACTGGACTGACACTGATGCTCCTCACTTTTCACTGCCTGAAATATCCCTCAAGAAACTCCCCAGTGTTCACCAAACCCTCTCATCACTCAATGCCTGGGACAAGTTTTTTTCCCTGCTCATCCCACCCAATTCTGAGTTTCTCCTCACTTCTCTCCTATCACTTACAAAGCCCATTTGACTCCTAACTGGGAGCAATTAAGCTCTGTCAAGGATGCAAAACAGCTCAGGGCAAAGTGGAGATCCCAGCCCAGCAAGACTGTTGCTCCCCCAAATTTAGCTGCTGTTGCATGCCTTTTCCCCATCACTGGGTCTCCCAGCACAGCAGGGCACAGAGAGGGAGGTCATTTGACTTTGGAATGGAATGGAATGGAATTTAATATATTGATGTTGCTCTCAGGTCATTGCAGAAAACTTGGCACCTTAGAGATAAGACTCCTCCTCCTGCTGATGTTTGAAATGCATCAGAGGATCCATGTGGTGCAGGTTTCTGAGGTAAGATGAGATGAATCCCACCAATGGGTCCATTTGCAGGTGTGTGTGTATGGGGGTGGGAGGAAATAGAGATGTTTGGTTAAATGCTGCAGTTCAACTCTTAATGACAGGATGGTGACATGCTTTAAGAGAGGACACTCACCTGGGGCTCCACCATCCATTCTGGTGTAACTCTCTTTCCAGGTACAGGGTTGTAGACGTAAGCAGAGTATACAGGAATACGATTCTCATTGTCGTACAAGGTGGCATAGAAACGCTGGTTTTGGAAGGTCTGGCAGATCCAGGCTGGGTTCTGTGGCAGGAGGCCATCTGTTGCGATCATTTTCTGGTAGAAAAACTGATCACATGTATTTTCAAAGTATGGCACCACCTCGCCGTGTCCCAGCCAGAGGCAGCTCGCCCAGACCTGCAGCAGCAGCAGCCACAGCATGGCGGGAGGATTTCAGGTGAAGGGCTCTTGATCTCCTGGAAGTCAAATGCAGAGGGAAACTCAGCTTGGAGAGAGCTGACTGGAGGGATTTTTAGTGCTAATATAGAGGATATGCTGCAGCTGTGAGAAGATAATCTTATGTTGCTCACACGGAGGATATGCTGCTGTGAGAATATAATTTTATGTTTCAATTGTGAAAACATGATCTGTTGTTCTGATGGCCTTCTGATGGTACCAGGATGTGAAAAATCTACCAAGAGAAACAGCAGCAAAACTAGGTATGGAAAACAGGGTCTCAGTACTGGCTATCAGAGTGGGGAAAGGACATAAAGAATGTTAAAGAAACAAAGCTAATAGAAGAGTATTGTTAGAAAACTGTATAAAAGACTGCTGCTTGATTCAAAAAACCGACGTTCTCTGATCATCATATTGAGGTGCTGAGTCATCCGTGCTCGCATGAAAATTCCACAGCTGACCATGGCCTGAAGTCATCATCTGGTCCTTTTTCTCTTTACCAGCCTTGGATCAGGAATGTGGAGACAAGTGAGGAGGAAACTCAGAATATGAGCCACAAGCAGTGCCTTTTAACAGTGCTTTGCAGAGCAGGACTATGTCTCTCTGCCCCAAATCAAACAGAGAAGTTCCTGAACAGTCCTTTTAAGCTCCATGAGCTTAAAGTATATCTCACTTACTCAATATGAGATAGATAGAAACCAGCTTACGGTGGGAAAGATTGGCTCAGCACTCTGGTCACAGCCCCAGAGGAGCAGAGGATTTGAAATGCCTCTGCTGCACTCTGAGACTGGCTGTTTATATATGATCGCCAGGAAGGGGAATGAGTTGTAACATTCCCCACACAGGGTTTCAGATTAAGTTTGCCCAGGAATGCAGCCAGCACCTGTGTTTGTCCCAAGGTTTTTTGCAAGATCATTAGTGAAATTTAGGTACTCAATAAGCTCTGCACCACACCTCCCCCCTCCTGATTCTTACTCAACACTATGGTGTGAATCGGGTGATTGGACTTTAATTCCTCTACCAAATCAATCCTTCTGTCCTTGCCCTTCTTAATACAAAAAGGAAAAGAGCTGCACAATTCAGTGCATGCATAAACTCTCATTTCTCTGTGGAAGGCAGATGTTGGAGATCAGCAACTCCAGCCTACGCTTTGTCTGATCTATTTCTTCCAAAACTAAGGAAACACTTGAAATATTGGAGTCAATGTTGAGGAAGGAGCAAGAGCTTACCTTGAAGCAGAGTGTCAGAACAGGCAGCTGAGCCGCTCCTTGCCTCTTCTCCCTGGAGAAACAGTTGGCTGATCCCTCAGGAGTCCCATTGCAATATATACCCAGTTGTAAATCTGATAAACACAGAATTTCAAAGAAAAGAGAAGTTTTCTGTTGTTACTCAGGGGAGATTTGCTCATCCTTGTGCAGAAATTGGGTGACAGTTGCTATTTGCAATTTCTTCTGGTTTTCCCCAAAGGTAGCTGACTTGAAGCAACAGGTCAGGGGCAGTTAACTGGGTCTGGTGACATCCCTGTCCATTTCCTCATTCCCCATGGGCCACAGCCCCTGCTGCTGCAGCACCTACACAGGTGTCTGTTCCTGGCAGAACACCTCTGGTGGCCTTAGACCAACCAACCTGTCTCTGAGCACACCCAGGTGTTCACAGTCAGCTCTTCTGCAGCCTCTCAGTATATAATTTGTATGGCCAGGCTGCATATTTTCCCTTTCTGGACTGCCAAGGCTTTGTAAGAGCCCTTATTCATGTCACCAGCCTGGGAAAGAGAAGGCCTTGGGGACACATTCGAGCCCCTTCCAGTTCTTTAAGGGTGTCCAAGAGAGCTGGAGAGAGA